CAAAAAAGTGATATGAAATTATTATTTAGCTTTCCTTTTACTCAAGATAGTAAATTTAAAAACCTTGGTATTTCTTTCTATATAATGAGCATGAATAAATGTTATTTAGTTTTAGGTGGTGATAGTATAGTTAGTAATGCTAAGATTAACCCAGTTGGTTGAATGGAATTATTTGGAAGTTTTTTGAGTTTTGGTAATGATGATTCTTTCAATATGTGATGTGCTTGATGTAACAGTCAATAATTGTTAGCTGCTAAAACTAATATATTCTTAGTACTATTGCTGAAGTTTATAATATTCTTGACATATTTCAGGATATTATCATCACTGTCATCATTACTAGTAAAACATTTCTTTCTTTCTTTTTTTTGGTACCAGGGCTCGAACTCAGGACCTTGCATTTGAGAGGCAGGTGCAGTGCCACTGAGCTAAATCCTCAGCCCCTAAAACATTTCTTTTAATAGGAACAACTAAAAGGACTTATTAGATACCTCTTTAACCTTAACTGTGCACTTTGTCTCAGTTCATTGCCTACAGTTATTTAAGATTTTAAAATATAAGTCTGAGGGTTTTTTTTGTAATTATAATGTTTCTTAAAATTGAAATCTATAGCTACCTGTAAGAAAGACTATTCAGAATGTTTGTGTGGAAAATGTACTATTTTAATTATAAAGTGATTGCCAAATTGCACCTAAGTACTATTTTATTAAATTTAGTGGAACTGTGTTAAATGTTCTGAGAATAATTCTAAATTTTAGAAATAATATGAATGGAACTGTGAATATGTTCATTTTCTTCCTGGTTTAATAGTAATATGAACAGCTTGAAATATACTTCTGAATTGCAGTTTTATTCGCATTTCTAAAATTTTTTCCAATGTATTGATTGTTCATGTTTATGAACATGTATAGCCTATAACTGTGGTACAGTATTTTCTGTGGAAATAATTTAGTCCTGAGAACTTAATTAGGTTTTGTAATTTTGAGTGTCGCATAAATTTCTGCTATGTATCAAAATTTTTAAAATTCTTTATGTAATTTATACATCTCTAAAATCCTTCCTTGTTTATTGTAGGAGAAATGCGTTTAAAAGGCATAACATTCTAACATACGTCATTACTATTCCTAACACATCAGGTTGACCTGCTTTAGTTTTTTGGAAAACCAATGTAAGTACTTTTTCTAGGCTAGTTACTGTCTTGAATCTTAATAAGCCCACTAGCTAGTAATGTTAGATTTTAATGTTTTATATTAATTTTAATATGGCAAAAAGCATGGAAGTTTTTCATTTGCTGGTCTTTGCTCTATTAGCTTTCTTTACATTTTACAACTCTGTTTAAGATATTATTATAAGATCTTACCATTCTGAAGCAATTTCTTTACATAGCAGCATAACTCCTAGCAACATAATCAGCAAACAAAAACAGAAAAGGAAACAGAACAAATTAAGACTGATAATGTAAGGCATTTCTGAGTATGACATCCATAATGTTTAATTCCTTGTAGTTTCAATAATTCCTTAAAGTCTGTGTAACGTTTACAGGTTATTTTTTTTTTTTTTGGCAGCTGTGTTGTTTTTATGTCTTTTTTCTTATTTAAACAGTATTTCTTTAGCATTTTTCTTTAAATTTTATTAGAAAGAATAGCAAGGGGTGGAACTCCTGATGAATTTCTACAGCCATCATGGTTTCCTTTTCCCTGTCTCATTTCTTTTTCTCTTTCTCCTCCCTTCTCTTCCTTCCTTCCTTTCCTTCCCTACCTTAACTCCTTTACATTTCTCTCCTTTTCTTCCTTTCTTCCTTTCTTTCTTAGCAAAGTATAGTATATCAAATATCTTTATTCTTCCTATGAGAATGAGTAACTTGTAGTGTTTTATGAATAACTATAAAGATGTTCATTTTCTCTTATATAGGTATAATGTCAACTAGTATGTTCATTCATACTTTCATTGAATGAAATGATTGCAGTGTATTTAACTAGCTATCTGAATTCCAGAGTAATAATTACTGTTAAAATGGTGAACCTCATTCCATGCTCCATCTCACTTCTAAATCTATGATAATTCACATTTTAAGACAAAAATTAGCAACACTGATAAAAGTTACTTTTATAAAGCATGCATAAATTTCATGAATAAATTGGCATTTGAATGGAATCTTGAAGATAGTGAAAGTTTTGAATATAAAAGTATGATGGGAAAAGTCCCTCTGTGTATATGTTTTGCTTTTTTTGGCTATGAATTTCTGAAGCAGAACAGTAAACAAAATTGAAAGCCAAGTTGGGATCATGCTAGGGCAAGTCATGTCCTTGTGTGATAATAAGAGCTATGTTTTAGAATGTTTACCCATATAGTAAAATATATTGGAAAATAGTTGCGTGAAATCAAAGAGATATTTTAAAATTTAATAAATTAAAGGGATACTTTAAAATTTAAAAGTTGGCTGCATGTTTAATACTATAGTATTATATATTATTATATATAATGGTTTTAGTGAATGACTTCTGAGGAATCATTTGTAAGTCCTTTTAATTATATGAAAATTTTGTGGTATGATTTCTTTTTTATATCATATACAGTTTCAAATAGTTTCCTTTTTAGTGAATCATTACTATTTTATTTTTGTAAGCAGACCATATATAGCAACTCTTAGGAAATACATAATCATCACCTACTTTAACTTTATTGTACAACAGCTCTTTAGAAGACATTTGTAATCTTTATCAGCCTAGCATTTGAGCCTTGTCACCAGACAGAATCTGAGGGACCCCACAAAGAGGAGACAGCAACCTCAGCTGGCCCACTAAACAAGTTCTTCTTAATTTTTTTTTTTAAACAGAGGATTGAACTCAGGGCCTTCACACAGATTTACCTCTCCAGCCTTTTTTATTTTTTTGTTTTGAGATAGGGTCTCACTAAGTTGTCCAAGCTGGGCTTGAACTGGTGATCCTCCTGCCTCAGCCTTCTGGAGTTCTAGGATTACAGGTGTGCACCACCATGCTCAGTTCTGAGCAGGTTCTTGACTCATGTCACAGAATAAAAATTGTAGGATGCACCAGTATGAGTCATAGATAGGTTTAGCTTCAGCTAGAATAACTGAATAGGACCTGTGATGATGCAGAGATTCAGATTAGCCCACTCAAAAAATCTTGAGGCCAGCTTTTAAGGATTAGTTGAGATGGGCTGGGATTTGGTTGGTCATTATCTCAGTTTTGTAGTTCTCTGGAGTCCTTACAGCTTCAAGGTGATGTGGTTCCCTGAAATTATTGCCTGTGCTTGAGATGAGCTCATCGTAGAGCAGTCTACCAGGTTCTGCTCTTTCTGGAACCCGAGGCAAATACAGGTTTAGCGGCTTTCTTGGGGTGAAGGGGGCATGGGGGAGGGGTCTGGAAGTGGATGTTGTAACAGCTGATAATTAGATGTCCCTGTAAATCCTGAAAACTAGTCATTCTTATGTTGACATACTCAGTCTTGAAAGTAGATGAGATAATCAGGAGTTAGTAACCAAGGAAGTAGGGAGTACAAAGCAGCCAGAGGCAGAATTCTCTGTCCAGGGGTGGAGATAGTACAGACAGTGTGATATCTAGTGTTCACTAGTAGCAGCAGTGGTGTCCCTCTGAGGCCATTTGTGACATGCTTTGGCATGATTGTGCAACTGATTAGACTGTCTTGTCTTTGTTACAAAATCTGGTTCCTCATCTTAGCAGGTCTTTTAACTACTCGATTTCCTTTTAATAAGTATTTATTTTTGTTTTAGTCAGTCAGTTATGTTTTTGTTTGTAACTAAGACTTCTGACTTTAATCATCTTTAATGTATGTAATTAAGAGTCACTATATTGGGCAAAAAATTTAGATTATATGAACAAACAGTATTTTAATAACAGAGGTAGCCTTAATAATTCAAAAATTCTCAAATAGTTCTCAAATTGACCTATGATAGATATGTCAGAATCTTTTTCTTTTTTTTTAAGTGCACACATTTAATTTTATTAGAGCAAGTTTTAGAACCTTAAGACAAGCTACAAATAACAAATTCCATTTTTCTTTTCATATTTTCTTTATTGGAAAGTTATTTAACAATGGCTACTGTTAACCAAATGCATATATAACTGTTCAGAGATATAAATTAATAAGGAATGTCATTGTATCTGCTAGGTTTAAGGTGCTTGTTTCCAAAAAACCAAAATATGAAGGTTTTATAGACGCTTTCAGCACTCCAAATGACAAACAACCAGTCTATTTGACTTCAAATAGGTTGTTAAGCAATTTAGGATTCTTTACTCAAGGAAGTTGCCTCAAGTCAGTTTAGTTTACAATGTCATTCCCTTTCCCACATAGTAATTCAATTAAACAAGAAGAAAAACAAATCACATTCAACATGTTCAAATTTTTCTCTTGGCCTCCAGTATGTTCAAAAACTAGATATCTATTGCATCAAAAGATTTATCCATAATAAATTAGATTTTGTTAAACCCCTGTAATTTTTTTCCTAGGATATTACTGATAGGATACAATGAAGTTCTGAATATAAATTATTTAGCCATCTATGTTATTAAATTGACTTTAAGAAAATTATTGCTGTTATATACTCGATAGTAGAACATGGACAGTAAAAAAAGTCCAAACATTTTCATAATCTGAATGTCATAATTATTCATCAAATATGATATACTTTTAGTAATTTAATGTAGAAGAAGATTTAGATGTGTTCCTGTTGTATTTTTTTTCTTTTATTGAGTTTATTGGTACATTTTAGGTATACAGTACAATTACGTTCATTATTGGGATCTTGTACCTTTACATGACAGGTCTTGGGTCTCATTTTTTTCCCCTTGTCCATGCCCTCCCTTCACCCTGTACTCCCCTCCCTATTTACAAACACTTTATTTCCATTTTTTCATTTTGTCATATTTTTTTCTTTTCCCTTATTACCTTTCCCCTACCCTTCCCATTTAGAATCTTTTTCATTTTCACTGTGGTCTAGTTATTGGTAGGCTGATCTAGATATTATTGGGCTTAATTTCATTAAGTTTTTTCTCAGGCACATAGGAGTGGGCATTGTGTAGTGCATACAATTTGATAGAATCTATAAGAGTGTCCTAGATAATGAAACATCAGCCTGGACAAAACTGATTTATGTATACATGAAGAATATAGTTAGACTTTGACTTGTCCCCAACTCTGCAGAGCTGTATAACATGAAACTAATTGTGCAATAAAAAATGATGGAGACTAATCTCTAAAATGTGCCTTAGCATTTAGTGAATTAATGCAATATAATTTCCATTTTCTTTCATGAAGTTGGAATGGCAGAGTGTATTTATAATGCTGTATAGAGCAGAAGATGAAGGGTTTTTTGCTCAATAAATGCAAAATGAACAACTAAGACATAACAGGAAATATGTTAATTGATAAGTTTAATAAGTAAAGGAGTTTAGGAATATTCACTATCTTATTCATTGTGTATATGAGAACCATTGGTAATAATGAACATCTTTGCATATTCTCATTTGGCATATTTGAGAAGCAGTATAAGGTAGTTTTGGTTAAAATTTTCCAAATCAAACTTACTAGATTTGAGTCCTGCCATTGTTACTTATTAATAGTGTGACCTGAGGCAAAGTACTTAATTTCTCTATACCTTAATTTCTCATCAATAAGTTGGCTTCAGAAATAGAACCTACCTTAGAGAGTTGCTGTGAAAATTTAATGAGTTTATCATGTACAATGTCTGAAGTAATTAGAGTAGTGCAAGATATTTAGTACTCATTAGTAGGTATTTTGATATTGTATACTCATAATTTACATACATTTTATCATTTTACTTATAGTTTTTATATAAATATTGAATTTGACACTTTTCATACATGTCTAAAAGATAAGCAGAATGACTTATAACACTTCATTATTATTGATAGACTAAACATTTTATAGCTATTAAATATTGCACTGTTATTTTGATAGAAGGATCATCCATAATGACTAGATTTTTTTTTTTAAGAAGGCACTGTGGTCTGAGTATTTATTTGTGTCCCCCTCCCCATTCATATGTTGTGATACTAATCCCAGTTGTGATGGTGTTGGGAGGCAGGGCCTTTGGGAGGTGACTAGATCCTAAGAGCAGAACCCTTCATGATTGAGATTAGTGCCTTTGATGCCCAGAGAGATAGCTCATTCTTTTAGCATGTGAGGACACAGTGAGAAGGCATGTTCTGTGAACCAGAAAACGGATCCTTAGCAGATAAAAACGGATCCTTAGCAGATGCCTAATCTTGTTGGCACCTTGATCTTGGACTTCACAGCCTCCAGAACTGTGGGAGATAAATTTCTGTGGTTTGTCAGCATGTATGCACAAAGCTGTGATATCTCTTCTCTCTCATCATAAAGGTTGCAGCTGAAGTAAATTTTATATGTCCTTGGATCCTAAATAGATTTTTATCTGCTCTTTATTCCCTTTTGATTTCAGTAGAATTTTGAAATACAAAGAAAATGGTGGTGGCCAATAATACTACTATCAGTTGAGACTGTTTCAGTGATATATCCTTTTCAGTCATTTGTTTGCTTATCTTGGTTTTATAATTCAGATTTATTTTTGTGCTGAATTATTTATTTTAAGTAGAGTGTTTTTAATTGGATCTTGGATTTCCTAAGAAAATTGGGATTAGGGTGCTTGTGAAAGAGACAGCTAGCTCCCCTCTTTTACCATAGGAGGACACAGTGAGAAACATCATCTATGAACCAGAAAATGGGCCCTGACCAGGCACCAAATCTGCTGATAGGTTGATCTTGGACTTCACAGCTGCCTGAGTATATTTTCATGGTATTTTTTCAGGAAAAAATACAGTGATCACTACAGGTTCAGATTTTAATTTTAAAACTTCAGTTCAACTAAAATGGCTGTCATCACAGAAACCAAATCTGTAATCACTCTATGTCTTATCTTTGCTCCCTTTGTAGTACCAGGGTTCTGATCAAGCAGGAAAAAAGAAAGCAAAAGGTAAGGAAAAATTTTTTTTGTGTGTTAGCTTTATGTAAATAATGTTCTGAAACATTTTTCCATCATTAATAAATTCCCTTAAGTGAAACTGGAATATTGTCTTCCAGCCAGTTTTGCTCTGGCTGACTTCAAGATAATTGTTGATTTTTGCCATCTTGCTAGTTCTAAGATATATCATAGATCTGACGATATCTCACTGCCCAAGGTGTTAGCACTGTCATTCAAATTCTCTTTGAATTGTACAGTACTGCCACGGCCTTGAGTTCTAAGTTCCACTTCCATTTCTCTTGTCTGACTGCATTGGCTATACCACGTGGTAAATTTGAACATGTGTTTACTCACAAGTGAGCAGTATGCGTCTAAGAGAAACTTCTGCACATGTGCATTTGAAGACATTTACAAGATTGGGGTGCTGTTGCTTCTAAAACAGCAAAAAGTGCCTGGGGATTTAGCTCAGTGGTTCCTCCGCCTGCCTCGCAAGTGCAAGGACCCAAGTTCGATCCCAGGTACCAATAAATAAATAAATAAATAAAATAGCAAGAGGAGAAAGAAGTGCCTCGAGAGGGAGGAGGAATAAGAGGGAATATCTCGAACATTCATTAACAGTAGCTTTGTTCTGTCATAGCCAAGTAATGCTATGGCTGTGCATATGTGTCAACTACATGTATTTAGTGTAGATCAACCTGGACTACATGATACTTAGCAGAAGAAGCAACTAATAGAAGAATCCAAGCAGTAATGTTCCTTTTACACAAAGTTCCAAAAGAGGAAGACAAAGAAGAAACCAAAACCCAGTGTATTTAGTATGACCGAAAGGAGTAGAATGTAAAGAAAAGCGAGTGACAGTTAATGATAGTTGCTCTCTCTTGATCTTTTCTCTTTCCTGCTCTCACCTCTGATAGAGGTCTCAGCCTGCTGCACTGTATGTAAACTTTGTTGTTGAATTGAAAGAGTATCTTTCAGTCCAGCATTTTATTTATTTTTTTATTTTATTTTGGTACTGGGGATTGAACTCCGGTCCTTGTGCTTGCAAGGCAGGTCACCGAACCGCTGAGCTAAATCCCTGGCCAGTCCAGCATTTTAATTAGATCATCGATAGTCTGTCATTCCTCCCAAGCTTTCCCAAACAAACTCCTCCCAAGCTTTCTTGGACACATTCTTTAAATTGTATTCTTGTCTCTGATTGTTCGTGTTTTCAAATTATAATTGATTTCTTAGCCTCTGAAAACTTTATTCTCTTAGGATTGTTTTCTTATTGTTTCTACCACATGAGACTTGACTGGAAAAGATTGAGCCTAGTTTTGTCATATGCATTTGTCCATCCTAAGAACACAGATTTGGGGTGAGCATAATTCTCTGGAATGAAAGTATACTCCTTTGCAGACAGTCTTTGTGCCTTCTCTCCCTGAATCCTTCTATTACTACCCTTTTTGGCTAACTGACTTATCCCAGTCTTAGAAATCATTTCCTAAGAAACTGTCCCTATCTTCCTGTTGGCCCCCTACTCACCCTTTCCCCGAACCATGATTTACATACCTTTTCTAAGCGTTTTGTACCATTCCTTATCACACTGAATTACAATCGTGTTGTCTTCTACATTGTGATTTTTGTCCATTAGGAAATACAGTGCTTTAAGAAGTAACATCTTAATTCCAAGATACCATCAGTTATGAGATCTAATATTGATTTAGTAATCCTAAAGTTCCTAAAGGTCATCTCATGCTGGACCATAGTGTGATCTTTTAAAGATTTTTTACTCCCAATTTGGAGTAGTAAATCGCTCAAATGAAACATGAACGTATTTGTTTTTCTATGATTTGCTTTGTAAAACAGAACATTTACTTTTTTTGTTTGATACCTGGCTAGTCTTTTGTAGTTTTACAAGTTTTTTTAATATTCTTAAAAATTGATTGTAATTGACAGTATTCCAAGATGTTGATTTGAAAAGGCCTTAACCTTTTAAAAATACAATAATATAATCACTTTCAAATGTGACTATTTGCATTAAAATTTTTGCCAGCTTGGTATTTTCTCACTTTTGATAATTCACATTTATAAATAAGCTTAGGGAGTTGCATTATGAATTATTTAGTGAAGAGAAAAATTTTGAAGAGTTGCTCAATAAATAATAAATAAATGCCTTTGAACTTGGTGAGTTAAGGATATAATTAAGAAAAAAGAGAACAAAGATAAGAATAATTATAGTTCAAACAGGCAAGAAAATAAAAACTGGATGAAGAATGATAATTATGTACAGGCCAAGTTTAAAAAAAACAAATGAACATCTAGAAGGATAGCAAGGAATTAAATATTATTTAGATTAGTTCTTATAGGCATATTTTTCCTTCTTCAGTTGACTTTTAATGGCACTTAGCTATATCTTTTAAGGCTTTTTTGTTTCTGCAAGATAGTGTACTTCATAGGAAAACAAGTTTTTAACTTGTCAGATTAGCAGTTTTATGAATTTTTTTCTACATATAGATAATTTCTAACCTTTTGATACCTGGGAATACCTTAATGTTACAATTTAAAAGTTAAATTTAACAAGAAAAAGATTAGAAAAAGCTATGAAACTTAGAATCTTTAGGCATGTTTCAAGTCTGTCATAATTGACTTTAGTTTGTACATAACCATATAAAGGTTGTATCACAAAAATATAAAAGTATTAGTAGTTTAATAGCATTAGTGCTGTTTACTTATGACTTTATTCTAAACCACCTATCTTGTACATTAATTTTTTTTGTCTATTTTAGGAATATTTTGAAAGGAATAGGTTAAAATCAAAAATGAAATTACTGGGAGTTTTGTCTCCTACCAAAAATTCCACTGTCAGTTTAGACCTGCTTAACCTTTATACAGTAAATCAGATATCGTGTAAGAAAAAGGCACCTGGTAAGTCTTTCTAATACAATTTTATTTTGACATTGATATGACTATAATAACATTTAACTTTCTTAGTTTGCATTGTAGAATTCAAATCAGGTGTAAATTTTATTTTAAAACTTGGTTACTTTCTTCAATTTAAATCCTAATTGTTAGAGGTACAAGATCCCAACAATGAATGTAACTGTACTGTATCCCTAAAATGTACCAATAAACTCAATTAAAGCTGAAAAAAAATCCTAATTGTTTAAAATAATTTGTTGCTTAGTCCATTTGTCTTTGTTTTCAGATTATGTGTTCTATAAATTTCGTTTATTAGATAGACCTTACTTTACCATAATGTGGCATCAGTTATTATATTACTCTTTCTAGGCAGAAAGTTACTAATGTATTTACTCATTTGTATATTTACTCATTTAACCGGAAGGAAAGGTGATGGTATAATGGGCCTCAAGGGCAACTTGAATCAGGGACTTGAGTACTAAGATTTTTTTGTCCTGTAAGCTATTAGCTTTCTTAAGGCTTACAGTGTGGCTTTAAGAAACTAATACTGCTTATTTCTCCTAGTTTTGCAAACAGAGAAAGAGTTATTTCTTTGTTTCCAAATTTTAAATTCTACACATGCCAGATCCTAGTATTGGAATGATTTCACTTAAAACCTGAGGGTTGGATTCCATCACTGGCTTGTCATTCATCAAATGACTACCTCTAAACCAATTATCTGCCCAGAAAGAGTTTTAAAGGAACATAGTCTCCACTAGAAACATATAATGGGAGTGAGCAAAAAAAGCATTGCTCAGAAAAGACTAGTAGGTAAAAGTACAGAACAGTCAAAACTGTATGTTGTCTATAAAGAGAGACAAATCTTCTCCCTGTTTATAGTTTAAAATCCAGAGAGGGAGATAAAGCTAATCAAGAACAATAAAGAGTGCAAAGTGCTGTAAGAGAGAACATATATAACATTACGAGAACGTACGGCATAACAGCTTACAGAAAGTACGACTAAATTAATGGGGCCCCATTCTTGAAGGGTATGTAAGATTGAGAGGGGATGTTTTTAATTATATGATAGTTGTTAATATTGTAATAACTTTTTCTAACATGGCTAGAGTATGTTTTAGTAAAATTTCTTAGATGCATACTTACTGTGATGTATCTAACAATACTTTAAATATTTATTTTAAAATTATAATTTAATATTTTTTCACTATAGAAACTGTTAAAAAACCAATTCATGTGAATATGAATAGAGACATAAAAATGTCTCTAAGACAGCATGAGTTAGAACTTGCAATGTCACCTCAACATGTACCTTCTAAACTCTGCCTTGATGGTACAGAAAACAAGTAAGTTTTAGCTGGTATCTTATTAATAGGTGTTTACATTAGTTATTAGTAGTTTTATTTATTATGAAATGTACAAGGTGCTTACCTTCACACTCCAGTTTTTGTTTGCCTAGTGATTTTGTAAAACTGTTAGGACCTTTATCATATGGCTTACATTGTTGTACACTTATTTTTATTTATCATAAAAATGTTTAATTCTTGTAAAACTCAGTAATGTTATGATTTTGGAATGATTTACTTATAATTTTGTATGTCTCATATGCTTGTGTAGAACATTGTGAATTTTAAATGTATAAAAAGTTAATTGTATTGCTTTTTTTTTTTTCACCTTAAATTTTTCTTTTCAGCAATATATCCTATCACAAACTCAGTAACAAGACAGGATGTGGCCCAGTTCAGGTGAGACTTCAAGAAAATGTTCAGAAGGTATTTTAACAATTGTGACATTCCACTGAATACATTTTTGAATGTTGGGGAAAATTATCCTTTAAAAATTTATACTCTTTCAATTGATTTTTAAAAAAACTTTCCAATTTAGAAAACCCATACCTTACGGACATTTTAATTGACTGCTTATGAGAATGCTTTGGGGATGCTGGTCATGTGGCTGGGCCTCTATGTACATAATGTTTGATTTTGCCTGTTAGTGAAGGATTGCAGAAGGCAATTCGCTCCGGGGATTCTTTCTTTGAAGTTCACATGTTTATTGAGCAGCTAATCTCCTCAAACAAGCGACAGTATTATTTTCTATCAGATTGAGATGTTCAGTCTTCACATTTATCCCAAGATGATTTTCCTTCAAAGTGCAAAAAGTATTTCTTAGTAAACAGAATTTTAATTAATTTGAGAATGCATGCAGATTGTGATTAAAGCTTGAAATTTTATTTAATATTCAATGCCATATTATTAGCTCTTCTTTATTCCCTTTGAGTTGCCAGAATGATAGTAGCAGTGACACTGAGATAGTCCCTTGAGAATGTGTACCCTGGCTTGCGGGTTAATGTTCCCCAGATTCTCTGTCATCAGAGAGAGGCATGTAGGAATGGCAGTGAGGGTGCTCAGGAGCAGAGGTTAGAAAGACGGAGGGAAGGAAGTTACTTAGTAATATCTTAGCTGATGACCACTTTCATTTGGTGAGTCCTGCAACTGGCTTGCCTTTTCCTGAGACGTTTTCTTTTGTAACCTATACCCTTACCACTTATTTAAGTTTAACTATTTGACCTCTTTAGTTTGTATGTTTTTAAATTTTTTTTTTTCCTGTAGTCATCACAAGTTACGGACACACATAGCATATTTGAGCCTCAGTTCAGCAGAACAGAAAACTGCAGTTTTACTGTACCATCCTTTTCAACAGAGTTGTCTTCTGACAGATATATTCCAAAACAAACTTTCACTCCCAGTTTGGTGCCTAGCCCTTCAAAGATTGCATTTGAGAAAAAGCAAATTGAGCAGGTACTTTTGAATCACTAGTTCTTAGCATTGTTTATCATTATATTTTCATAATATATTTTTTCCCTTTTTATAGATTTGAAAAATGAAGGTTGCAAATTGGTAATAGAAATTTGAAGATAGTTAAGTATGTTTTTTAGTAGTTCTGTTTATAATCATTATACATAACTGGTGATGCCATGGTGACTTTCAATATACATGAATTTTTAAAAATTTGAATTTCTGGATTTAAATCTTAAAATTCTAAAATATCTGCTAGAATATACATAGAGCTAGGAATGGTTGTACATGCCTATAATCCCAGCATTTGGGATGCTGAGGCAGGAGGATCACCATGAATTCAAGGCCAGCCTGCACTGTAAAGTGAGACCCTGTCTCAAAAATGGAAAAAAAAAAGAATATACATAGAAATGATCAACTGTACAGCTATAATTTATAAATAAAATTAAGTTATGTAATGATATTGGCAATGAAGAAAATAGTTATATAAATATGTCTTTTTTGTTTGTTTGTTTCTGGGGATTGAACTCGGGTCCTTGTGCTTGTGAGGCAAGCAGCAGCGGAACCACTGGGCTAAATCCCCAGCCCAATATATCTTGTTAAGAATTGGCCTTTTTTTTTTTTTTTTTTTTTTTTTTTTTTTGGTACTGGGGATTGAACTTGGGTCCTTGAGCTTGCAAGGCAGGCCACTGAACCGCAGAGCTAAATCCCCGGCAAGAATTGGCTTTTTGGCACTGGGGATTTAGCTCAGTGGTGCATGCCTGCCTCACAAGCTCAAGATCCTGAGTTCAGTCCCTGTTACCAGGAAAAAAAAAAAAAAAGAATTGGTTTTTAAAGTCTTCTATTTTTAGCGTACACCAGTTTTATGCCATATTTATATATATCTATAAATAAATCTGTAGTGAATGTGTAAATTCATAAACTATTACATATAGTATGTTAAAATTGTATATGCTATGATACATACTTCAGTTTTAATCAAAGTATGTTTTACTATTTCTTGGAGAAGAAAAATTAGCTCTTAAATTCTTGTGGTATATGGTGGCCTAGGGCTTAATAACTTTTGAATGATGTAATGAAAGACCTTCAATTACTCATTCACTTTTAAGACAGAAATCTTGCATACCATATCAGCTTCGGATTCATTCTTGCTTCTGTATTTTTTGTAGGCTAGTTAATAAAACACTTTGATTTCTACTGAAACAGTGACCTCTGGCTTATACATTGTATACACTACAAGTAGACAATAGACAGGTAAAAACGCTTGTCAGCTAAAAAGCCATATGCTTGATATGGCAAAAGACTGAAAAGAGTAGCTAATACCCTTCTTCAAGTCTGAAGATGTCCTGTCTGAAGTATTAATGAAGTATTTAATAGCTTTATTTGGAGAGATTTCTAGAGCAGTTAGAATTGAAATATTCACCTTTCTCTCACATTTTGTTTTTCTGTCCAGGGGACTGAACCTGAGATGTGCTAGTCAAGTATACTGTTTCATCACTGAACTGCTCCCTCGCCGTCTTCTCTTGCAGTTTGTTTGTGTGTTCATATATCACTTCCAGGTTGACTTTGTCTCTGCAGCTCTCACTGTTCTCTTTCTGAGGCTGAAATATATTGGGTGGATGGACTTTAGTATCAGCTTTCCCTGACTTTGGTCCATTTAAAATTTTTTTCCCACCAGAGCCATTCAGTGTCTTTACCTTTCGCTCATTCCATTCTCACTTTTTTTTTTTTTTTTGTGGTACTGAGGATTGAACTTGGGACCTTGCATTTGGGAGGCAGGTGGTGGAACCACTGAGCTAAATCCCCAGCACCGTTCTCTTTTTCCTGAGGTAGTCTCACTGTGTTGCCCAACCTGGCCTCAAGTGTGTTGACACAAGTGATCCTCAGCCTCAGCCTCTCCAGTATGAGTGCTAGGATTATGGTTCTGCACAGCTGTACAAACCCTGACTCTGCTGTTTTTTCTGACTCGCTAAATAATGATTGTTTTAGGTTTTCAATTTCTGTGTTTCATTATTTATAAGTGAAATATACTATAGATGTATATTTTTATTAGACTAATGTTGAATTAGTCTGTTATGTTTATATAGTACCTTCCACATTAAAAATGGATGCTTGGGCTGGGGATTTAGCTCAGTGGTTCGAGCACCTGCCTAGCAAGCACAAGGACCCAAGTTCAATTCCCAGTACCAAAACAAAACAAACAAACAAACAAAACAAGTAAAAAACAAAAAAGCCGGGCATGGTGGCGCATGCCTGTAATCCCAGCACTTGGGAGGCTGAGGCAGGAGGATCGCTGTGAGTTCGAGACCAGCCTGAATTATACAGTGAGTTCCAGGTCAGTCTCAACTGCATAATGAGACCCTGTCTAAAAAAAAACCCCAAAAACAAAACAAAAATGGATGCTCAACTGGTTACCATTGTCTTTACATACTGTCCCCATTTTGCACTGAGTGACATGGATACTCAGAAAGGTTAATGTAGTGGTCTAAAATTACTTAGTAAGTGGAAGAACTGAGATAAGTTTCCTTGAAACAGTTACCTTGAAACAAACTATTCTGTCAGAGATATTCTAACTCAAGATCATAGTGTTCTGGATGCTTTTTGTTTTTTGTAACCTTTTTTATACTGACAAAATACTTCACTTTATTTTCTCTGTTTAACAGTCATTCAGATATTGACAACAGTTCATTGTTAGAAAAGTTTTATGTTTTCAATAGGGCTAAGATTTCTTTCAGACTAAAAGTACACTTAAATATAGATATAGTTCACTTAAATGACAATTTTGATAAATCAGTTATTGTATGCATGTACATTTGCTATTTTGACATTTTCCTTCATATTTTTTTCAGCTCAGTAATGTTGACTGTTCTGATTCCTTGGTTTCCAAGTTAAGTGAATGTCCAGACGTTCTCAGTTCACCACATGAAGTAGCAAACTTTGGAACACTGTTTGAACAATCAAACAAGTAAGCAAAGATGCTGAGGGAAATAAAGATGGATAGCATTCTGTACTCTGAATTACTAATTTGATTTTAGGGGACACAGACATTTTTCATTAGAAGTATAAACAGACCAAAGTAATATTTCCAGAAAACAATCACTAAATTAGTTAAAATAAGTAACTTTTTTACGTTTCTCTTAAAACGTTAATTGTACAGATTAATGGAATTCAGTGTGATATTTCTGTGCAAGTGTGTTGTTAATCAAATCCAGCCTTCCATTTTTCACCCTCCCCAGCTGACACCATTTCCAGTCTGGAGTAATCAATATTCTCCTTCCGACTTACTAGCTTTCTATTTGTTATTTGTCTGTGCCTGGCTTTTCTCACTTAACCTAATATTTTTCAGTTAGGTACATTCTGCGGCAAATGACAAGATTTCATTTTTTATGGCTGAATAATAACTCACTGCACATAGGTAGAACAGTTTCTTCACATTTATCTTAGCCACTGTGAATAGTGCTGCGGCAAACATGGATATGCAGAGATCTCTTCGGTATACTGATTTCATTTCCTTTAGGTAAATTCTCAAAAGTGGGATAGTTGATCATATGGCAGGACTACTTTAGTTTTTTTTGTTTTTTGTTTTTTGCGGAACCTCTATATAGTTCTCCATAATGTCTGTGCAAATGTGTATTCACACTAATAGTAACTTTTTTATTTATCCTTGCAGCATTTGTTATTTTTTGAAAAATAGCCAGAAACTGGGCTGAGATAGTATCTCAATATAGTTTTGATTTGCATTGCCCCAATGGCTAATGATAGTCAACACTTTTATATTTGTTCGCCATTTCTTCTTCTTTGGAGAAATGCCTGGTCAGATCATTTGGCTGTTCTTTAATTGGAAGTATAAGAGTTCCTTATATGTCGTGGATATTAGCCCTTTGTCAGATGAATAGTTGGCAAACATTTTCCCATTCTTTAGGTTGTTTCTTGTCTTCTGTTTCCTTGCTGCACAGAAACTTATTAGTTTGCTTTAATGCCATTTATATGATGTTATTTCCTATGCTTCTGGGGTCTTACCCAGAAAATCATTGCCTATACTAATATCTTGGAGTATTTCCCATATGTTTTCTTCTACATTTAGTTTCACATCATCCATTTAGGTCTTTGATTCATCTTAAAGTGATTTTTGTACAAAGTGAGAGATAGTCAGATTTTGATCCTCTACATGTAGGTATACAGTTTTCCTAGCACCATTTACAGAAAAGGCTATTCCTACTCCATTGTGATTTTGCTCCCTTTGATTAGGTGGATGTAGATGAATGTGTTCATTTCTGGGATCTCTGTTCTGTCCAACTGGGCTGTTTCTATTTTAATGCTAATACCATGTTGTTTTGGTTGCTGTGGCTCTGCAGTATCTTTTCTTAAAATTAATTTTATTGGTACATTTTAGGTATGCAATATAATGACATTCATCACTGGAGATTTGTATCTTTACATAATATATCTTGATTCTTATTTTTCCCCCATTCCCCTGCCCTCCCTTCAACCTCTCCACCCCTCCCTATTTACAAAGATTTGTTTCCATTTTTTTCATTTTCTCATATTAATTCCATTCCCCTCTTTCCTTTCCCCTACCCTTCTCACTTCCCCTTCTCCTTTGAATATGTATAATAGATAATGTGAAATAGGAAGAAAGGCACAAAGGGGAAGAGTAGTATGTCTTGCACTCAGGTATTGTGATGATTCCAGCTTTGTTCTCTTTGCTCAGGATTACTTTAAAAATTTGGGATCTTTTTTGTTTCTATATGAATTTTAGGGTGTTTTTTTCTAATTCTTAAAGAATGTCATTTTTATTTTGATGGAAATCACATTGAATCTTTAGATTTTTTTCTGTAGTTTGGACATTTTAATAGTATTAATATTTCTAGTCCAAGAACATGGAAGATTTTACATCTTTCTATGTCCTCAATTTTTATCAGTATGTATGCATTTATTTATTTATTTATTTATTTATTTATTTATTTATTTATTTATTTATTTTGTTTTTTTGAGACAGGGTCTCACTAGTTGAGACTGACCTGGAACTCACTATGTAACCTGGGCTGGTCTCTAACTCACAGTGATCCTTCTGCCTCAGCCTCCCGAGTGCTGGGATTACAGGCATTTGCCCCCATGCCCAGCTATCAGTATTTTATAATTTTCATTATAAGAGGTTTTTTCCTTGCTTACATTTATTCCCAAGCATTTTATTATTTATTTTTGGTGACTGTTATGGACAGGACTGCTTTCATTCTTTCTCAGCAGTTTTATTACTGTTTATAAAGAAGCTACTTTTATGTTGATTTTTTTATCTTGTTACTTTATTGATTTTATCAGTTCACAGTCTTTTTTGAGGTCTTTGGGTTTTCCTGTATATAGAATTAGATCATATGCAAAGGATAATTACACTTCTTCTCTTCCTATTTGTATTCCTTTTATTACTGTCTGTGTTAATTACTCCAGCTGAAACTTCTAGTATGATTTTGAATAAGGTGGGGGGGTGAGAGTAAACACCCTTATCTTTTTCTGTTTCGGAGGAAACTCTTTCAGATTATATCTTCATGATCCAATTTTGGTAGATCATATCCAGACATTTCCCCATATTCTCTGGTTTTCCAATTTGTGTGTGTATCATTCTTTCATAATACTTCCTGACGATTCTTTGTAATGTTGTGGCATCAGTTGTGTGTTTCTCCAACTGTAATTTCATTTAGGTCTTTCTTAGGTTAGTTGATTTTGTTGATCTTCTCAAAAAACTATTTCATTGATCTTTTATATTATTTGTCTGTATTTTATTCATTTCTTCTCTGAACTTTAGAATTGATCCTCTACTATTGATTTAGACTTGGTTTGTTATTTTCTAAATCTTTGGCATGTATTATTAGGCTGTTTATTTGAAATCTGCCCTTTTTTTTTAGGTGTAAGCACTTATTGCTAAAGGTTCCTTTTAGTACTGCTTTTTAAATCTATTAAAACATTCATAGTATATATTTATGATACATACTGATTAAATTCATCTTTAGAGATTGAATCATACACGTATTGTATCTTTATCATTTTTACCCCCTGACCATCTGTCTTCCCCTCTGCCTTCTTCCCCAGATCATCTTCCCATATCTACAGAAGCTACCCTCATGTTTCTTAAAATGGTTGTTTTAGTTTGCTCTTAAAATTATTTATATTTGGGTCTCTCATATTAGAGAAATCATGTGATATTTAACCTTCTGTGACTGATATGTTTCACTTAATATTGTGATGTCAAGATCTATCCATTATCCTGCTTGGTTTATTGTTTTTTATGGTGGAGTAGTACTCCACTTTTATCACTTCATCTGTTGATGGGCACATAGGCCACTTCTGTGATTGAGCTATTTTGAGTTTTGCTGCCAAAAGCATGGGTACCCACAAGAGGTATAGCTGGGTCAAATGGAATTTTTATTTTTATGAAGAATCTCTGTGCTACTTTCCATAGTGGTTATACTAGTTTATAGTCCCACCACCAATTTAGAAGGGTTTCCTTTTTCTACAACATAAGCAACATTTGTTGTTTTTTTAGTACTACATAAAGCCATTTTTACTAGAGTAAGGTAGAATTTCAATATTGTTTTGATTTGCAATTTTTTTCATGTATCAACCATTTGTACTTCTTCAATGACGTGTCTGTTCATTTCAGTCGTCCATTTTTTGATTGAGTCTTTTATTTGGAAGGGTTTTTAAAGCTCTTTTTGTATTTTGGGTATTAGTCCTCTGCCCTGAGGAGTAGTTTGAAAAAAATGTTGTTGTTGTTGGGTTGTTTTTTTGTTTTTGTTTTTGTTTTCATTGTGTAAGTTTCTCTTTTTACTCTGGAGGTGATTTATTTGGCCGTGTGGAAGCGTTTTAATTTCATATAATCGCATTTGTTGATTTTTGGTGTTAGTCTTTGTGCAGTGGGGTTCTGTTTAGGAAATCCTTGCCTATGCCTATGTCTTTAAGAGTCTTACCAATTTTTTTTTCTCCCAGAAGATTTGTATATTCATTTGATTTATTTTTAGTACAGAGAAAAATGGATGAAATCTTTGTTCTGTATGTGGATAACCAGTTGTCCCAGCACCATTTGTTAAAGGGACTATTGTTTCTTTAGCCTATATTACTGGCCCCTTTTTCAAAAATCAGATGGTTGAAGCTACTTCGGTTTATTTCTGCATCCTATATTCTGTTCTATTAATCAACATGTCTTTTTTTTTGGTATTGTGCTGTTTTTACTAGTGTGGCTTTGTGGAGTCTGGGATTATAGCGCTTTGTGTTTTACTCTTTTATTCTAGGGTTGCTTTATCTCTCTTGGGTCTCTTCTGTTCCATATAAACTGTAGAATAATATTTTTCTGCTTCTGTGAAAAAAGCCGATACTATTTTGATATGAATTGCCCTAAATTTACAGAATTTTTAATAATATGGCCATTTTCATGGTATTACTTCTGCCTATCCAGGAATAGGGAATATTTTCCATTTTTTAAAGAATGAAAACTAGCTTTATTGAACTAAACTTTGCATACAATTCAGTTTACAAACTTTATGATTTGGTAGATTTTAGCAAATTGACAAGAGTTGTACAACCAGGACCATCATCATTTTTGTTATCCCAGAATGAAAGACTTTATCCATGTATTACTTTTCTTCTTGCTGGGACAATGTACCCAACACCCAAAGTTAAAAGAGAAAGTTGTATTTAAACCAACAATTTGTAGAGGTTTCTATCCATAGGCAGCTAGCTCCAAGGCAGGGAGGCATGGCAGAGGATATGGCAGAGTCCATGGCAGGGCAGGCAGTAGGCAGTGAAGAAACAGTGTGGAGCCTTCCTTTCTCTTTTATTCCATTCAAAGTACAAATCTATTAGTGGGTGCCACCCACACCCAGGGTGGAACGAAAGCTAAACCAATCCGTAGACTCATTTAGTTACCACACACCCTTAATCCATATTCACACACCCTAAATTCAGCCACCTCTG